GTGGCTAGCTCGGAGGGTAGGTGCTCGGAAGTGGTGCGATGTCCGACCGGCTTAGGGTTTAGGGTTTAGGGTTTAGGGTTTCGGGTTTAGGGTTTAGGGTTTAGGGTTTAGTGCTGTGCAACTTTTATGTTGAACATGTGACTTGTGATGCCAGTCTCAGCCGCGGCGGCTACGGCTTCGGTCGTAGGAGCGGCGGCGACGGTCCTGGCACATGTGCTCTTTACATTGATCGTTGCTTTGAGAGGGGATTTAGGGTTTAGGGTGTAGGGTTTTGGGTCTAGGGGAGGTGCTTGCCGGTTTTCAGGGCGCCACATGTTCCGAAGGACCCAGAGAGGTTGAATCACAGAATCACAGCGCAAAAGGCTTCTGCAGGTCAGAACCACTTTGGTGGACCAAACCCTCAACCCTCAACCCTCAACCCTAAACGGAAGAATGGATGCGCTCATTGCCAAACAGAAGTGGCTCCATGTGGACTGCGCTTTCAAAGTCTGGCTTTCCACTTTCACTTACGGTTTAGGATGATATGGGGTTTAAGGTTTAGGGTCTCCGGCCGATGCATGCAAAGGATTTTGAAGCACATGTCGACGGAGCCAGTTTTCCTGGATGTGTATTTGCTTTTTGTTGTCCGATTTAGGGTTTGGGGTTTGGGGTTTAGGGATCAAGGGTTTAGTGGTTTATAGTTTGGGTTCTCTATCTTTCTTTCTGTATTCCTTTCTTAATTTCATTCTTTCTTCTCTGCCCTTGTTTCATTCGTGCAATACATTTCTTTCTTATCCTGGGCATGAGGTTCTCGGGTTTAGGGTTTTGTTTCCCTTTTCAATCGCTTCGCTCTTTCATTCATTCGTTCAACGGGTATTGCTTCGAGAGAACAAGGCCCAAAGCAAACTAAAACATGGACAACGCACGTCATAAACAATAGGAATTGGGATGTTCCCCTTATGCTAACAGTCCTTAGTAGGGATTATAATAGGGGCTACTATAATCCCTATTAAGGACTGTTAGTATAAGGGGGAACATCCCAAAATAGGAACACTAGGAACACAACTGCGCGAACCAATCAGGTGAGTGAGAAGAGGCAGCGGGCCCTGTCATCATCCGCACTTCTGCGACGCCTGGTCGTGGGCTTGCAGCCAAACCCTAAACCCTGAACCCTGAACCCTGAAACCTGAACCCTGAACCCTAAACCCTAAACCCTAACTCACGTGACTGCCCTAGCCACTCTAACGTCACGCGTGAGAGTTCTGGGTTTACGATATTAGGGGGCTTATTGGGGTCCGATTATCAGGTAATCCTTCTATTTGGGGGACTATTTTAGGGGTCCCTAATCTTCGTAAACTCCCAAAGAACTTTGGGAATATTTCGCAGCGGTGGCTATGGACTCGGCCTGTCTCTATCATCATCTCGCGCGTCGCGACTCCTGCCCACGGGAGCAATCAAGGCTGAACTTTGGCCAAACACACATGGGGGTTTACGAAAATGAGGGACCCCTAATTTAGTCCCGAAATAGTAGGATTCCCTTACGGTAAGGACCCCAATCAGGTCCCCTAATTTCGAGAAGCCCGCACATTTCTTTAGCTCAGCTCAACCTACCAGCGTACTGCCTCATTCAGACTCGTACCCGTAGGGATGTACCCTTAAAGGTTCCCCTTCATATACTCCTAATATGGCCCTTTTATCTTCCTTTATGGAACCGGTGCCTTCTCCCGCTGCGGCGGTCATCATCACGGTCTCGCCGGTCACGCTCCCGATCACGGTCGTCGTCGCGATGGCGGCGGGAGCGACTTCGTCCATCCTCCCGGTCGCGATCTTTATCCCGATCTCTGCGATCTCTGTCTTTGCCATCCTGTCAGCAGGCATGTGGTTGGGACTGCAGGTTGGGAAATGCCAGCAGCATCCCCGCCCTCCCCGTGCGAATGCGCGCCCGCCCCCTCGTTCCCATCCCTGACATAGAAACAGGCTCCGTCAAGTTGTCTTAATGTTAGCAGGGAGGTTGTGGGTTTAGGGTTTTGGGGTTAGAGGGTTAGAGGGGTTTTTTAGGAATCGGAGTGGGATGCAAGCCAACTCGTGCGCTGACCAGCATGTTCGACTCCTAGCTTGGGAAGCAAGACTTAGCAAACGTGTCCAGGGATGCCAAAATCCTAAAACATCCTCAAACCTTCAAAGTCACATAGTCGCGAATCACCGGGACTAGCATGGAACTGATATGGGGGCCTTCATAGTTAGAATAGGGGCTGTGAGAGTATGAATAAATAGGGACTTTCAGGGGATACTACTAGTAACTATTCCAACCCATATATTAGGCTCTTCGGCTTCAAGAGGCACCTCTCCGGAATGCCTCTCTTAGGGTTTAGGGTTTAGGGTTTAGAGGGCAGGGGGGTGGTCTTTGGGGGGTTTGTAGTAGGCGGGGGGAGTGGTGCCTTGTCCGCCTCTTTGTCATCTGGCGCTGGCCTTGCCTTGACGATCTTTTCGTACTCCATCCTGGATGGCCGGATGGGAGGATGGAACCCTGTGAACCCTCATCTCGAAACCTGAGCTCTAAGCCAACTCTAAGCCGAGAACATGTGCAGTAGCATCGGAATGTGGAGGACGGAAGACAAATGTAAGACAAGGACATAAACCGAAACAATGCCTGCATCAAAGGCACTGCTTGTCACGCAGCTTGACATAATTCCTTGGTAGCCCAGCAGTCACACTAGAATCAGGATACCCTTTCTGGGGTTGGTTGACTCATAAGGGAACCTTGATCCAAAAACGGGCAAAAGGGCACCACCCTAAACCCTAAACCCACAGTCCCTAAACCTTAAACCCTAAACCCTAAACCCACAATCCTAAGCCCTAAACCCTAAACCCACAATCCTAAACCCTAAAGGGCCACCGGGATACTTATGGTAGTCCGACTCGGGGTGGATGTCTGGCTTGTACTTTCCACCCTCGGTCTCTCTCACGTTGATGTCGGCAAAGCGAAGCTTGTACTTCAGGCCACAAATCTCGCAGAGCCGGTCCTGACTCAAGGCACGGAGAAAGAGCACATAAGGGTTTAGGGTTCAGGGTTTAGGGTTTAGGGTTTGGGGAAGGTTTAGGGCTGACGGGCTGGGAGCTCACGCAACAAAAGAGGGCGTCACCGGGGAGGGGGGGGCTCGTGGACAAAAAGAAGCTGTCCTGGTCGGTCATGACTGCGATGCCCTCAGCATGCCTGATGCAAAAGAAGCAGGACAGCATTTCTTCGCAGCTCTGCTCTCGAATCGGTTCTCCCCTCGTACTCTCTAGCAGCGGCTAGACAAAAAAGCATCTCATGGCTTTCATAGCGGCTTTCAAGCATCCGCCCAGCCTTGGCTTTCATGCACTTAGTTCGTAGGGTAGTTTCATAGTCCCTTTGCATGGGCTCTTAAAAGGGGACTCCTGAAAAACCCCTTTGATAATATACCCCTTTGATACCCTGTACAAACAAGGGGCCCAGACGTCAGAACCCTTTCAAGAAGGTAACGGACCATGTTAAGGGCCCATGAAACTACCCTCAGATCCCTAAACCCTAAACCCTAAACCCTAAACCCTAAACCCTAAACCCTAAACCCTAAACCCTAAACCCTAGGGTTTGGGGTTTAGGGTTCCAATCAACTCTGAGCGACTCGGTGAAGTTACAGTGCGCTGTCTTTGAGACAGCGTGCCTCAAATACTTAACGTGGACAGGAGAGCGGTGCGCTGCTCCTACTTGCCGCCTTTTTTGTTCCAAGAGTCTCGCCTGGAGTTTTTCAATCAGCAGAACTCCCAAATCCCCACACACGGCCTGCGCTTCTCTCGCGACACCTGGCAATTCTTGCGGATTCTTGGTAGGGAATGAGGGAATTCGGCAACCGCATAGGGCTTAGGGCATAGGGTATAACAGGGAAAGAATCAGAGACCTAACTCCCACATTCCCTACGAAGAGCCAGTGGGGGCGTGGTATTCGGGCAGCCAGCCTTGTCTTCGACCTCCCGAATCCCTTTGTCAATCAAATGGAGGAGATCATCCTCATATCTACCTTGGTTGACGTCTCTGCTGGATCAAGGCATTTGAGCCAGTTCATTGTGGATGCTAACTCATCTCCCGAAAGCCCTAAGAGCCCTAGACCCTAAACCCGTTAAAGTCCTAAACTTCCCTTTAAGCCTCAAAGGATTTGCGACTCTGGCACCACGGACTTGCCTCGCACCTCAGGCACTGAGTCACTGAGGCCTTTGGTGCCCCCCAATGTGCGCTGAGACATGACACGTGGGACATCCTGTAGCCAAGGATCACAGAACTGCTCCTCAAAAACCTGTCTCGGCTAGTGATGTGGGTGGTTGTCAAAAATATGGTCCCTTTTTGGATCCTTGTTGTAATACTGCACCTAATATTTTGGGTACCCCAAAAGGGATCATAATTTTGACAACCACCCATGTCCAGATTGAAGGGGGTTTGAAAGCTTGGGAGCGGAGCATGTGTTTTACAGAGTGGCCCAATGGGCCTGGGCGGCCACCCTGGCGCGACCACCGCCCAGGGTTTTAGGGACCGCTTGCAACACCCGCTTCCTGCACTCCTGTAGCCTGGGAAGCTCAGCGTCCCCTCCCCCTGTCATCCCCAGGGCAGCTCCCAGTGCACAGGAGTCCGTTCAGAGAAAGGAGGGGTGAGAAGCTTGAAGAGCCAGAGCATCCTGTCTACCGTTTGCTTAAGAAACCCCCCCCCAAAAAAAAACACATATTCTTCCCTATAAGGGTACTAGGGGATTATTATTATTGTTTTGTATTTCGTTTGGGGTTCTTAAGCAAATTGTAGTTGTGCGCCTAAAGTACCAAACCCAATGGATGGTCGTGGATCCAGCTCAGCTGCGCTTATACTTCTCGTAGTCTTTGTGAGCTTTGAACTCCTCCCGGACTCCAATCGAATGGAGCTTGTTGCCTGAGTGCAGGTCACAAACAGTGATACGAAGCTCTTTTTGACTTAGTACGTCCACTTAGTATCCCTTAGAAACCCTATTCAAGTGCCCCATAACCCACCTTACTAACCCTAAACCCTAAACCCTCAACCCTAAACCCCGAACCCTAAACCCCTAACCCTAAACCCTACCTAAACCCTAACCACCTTACTCACCCTACTTACGAAGTCACAAAGAGCTTCCGAGTGCGTGCCACTTCAGCACTCAGGGTCACCTATACTCCCCTTAGAACCTTAAAAACAAATAATATTTTTAATATCCTCTTGGGTGATACATAAACACAAATAAAAAAACAACATCCAAGGGGGATATAGTCACAACTAAGCGCCGTGCAGGGAGGGATCACGCTCTTCGGGTCGAATTCGGCCCGGATCTTGGCAGAGGAATCAGCTCTGTAGGGTTTAGGGTTTAGGGTTCAGGGTTGGTTTAGGGTTGAGGGTTTAGGGTTTAGGGTTTAGGCTTCAGGGTTTAGGGTTTGCAGAGGAGGCTCTGGTAGTGCTGGCAAAGCGGCATGTGCAAGGCTACAGACGTGCCGAGCGCCCGGCACTCTCTACTTCTCGACCCAACGTCTTCCCAGGGCAGTACCCAACAAGGAAGTACTTGCAGTAGTCGTCCTAACGCAGCGGCAGGTTCTAGGGTTTAGGGTTTAGGGTTTATGGTCTCAAAGCAGAAATATGTGGAACATGAAGCTGCAGGCGTCCTTCTTGAACTCAGGTTCACCTGAAGCTCCACAGCAGTTGCAGAGTTGCAGCTGGCTAGCATTTTTGGGGCATTGAGTTCTAAACGCTGGGCGTGTGCGTTGACGACGCTGCCAGTGTCTGTCTCCGGCCCCTGTGCCCCGCCGAGGTCTACTCTATCAGACTGAAACAAACGTCTGGGTGCGTGGAAGGAGTCACCCTAAACCCTAAACCCTAAACCCCACGTCCTGATCAGCCCTTCCCTTTCAATATTGCAAGCAGCCACAGCGGAGAAATTGAGGCCAGGGCCGTTGATTTTGTCTTTCTTGGACACGTCGCGGTTGGTGCCTTGAGAAGAAGGGGAGATGGAATTGAGGTGTCAGAGTGGGGTTGAGTTCAGCTGAGCTGCCCATAAGGGCATCGAGAAGAGCCTTGTTGCGATTCATAATTGAGGTCGGACCTGCTGCCGAGCACGAAGGCTTCTAGGCAGATGCTGCAGGCGTCCTTGGTCGAGGGGGGACATAAGGAAATGCCGCGGTTCTTCCACTTTGGGTCACTTAGCGTTGAGTTGTCCGGGTTGCCTGTTCCTGACGCGAAACTCGAATGCTCAATGATCTCAATTGGCTTTACTTCCTTGTGTATGCCCAACAAAAGGCTCGCCAAGAGGACCGAGAGTATGCTAACAAACCGAACGCCGTTTGCTTGAACTTTGGCTGTCCATTCCTTGAAATACAACAACGGAAGCAGCAATTTCTTGGAAGTCAGGAAAGGGTTGACATGCTTTTCTGCACATCCTGCCTGTCGGTTCTTGTTCTGTTGTTGGTCTATTCAAAAGGTTCGCCTGCGATTGAACACCAGCCTGCCCTTTCTGCTACCCTAGGTTCACGCGCAACGCACGTTAGCGCCACTATGTTGAAACTAGCACGACGCGCATGAGCAGCATCCGCATGAAGGCACATGTCATTAGTTGAAGAGGAGCTGCAAACTAATCTGCTGGAGCTCACCTGTCATGCGACTCAAGCACACAGCACGGACTGAGGGAGGCAACCAAAAGCTCGGGGGTCATGCGATATCCTGGCTACCGACAAAAACACGAAGAACCCGGCGAAGGGTAGAGTCTGGGGGTCTAGAAGCTGGTTGCAGGGAGTCTGAAGTATCTAGCAGCCGGCACAGCTCAAGCTGATTCTTTGCTAGCCTCTCGCCCAGCTACATCTACTCTCGTAGCCCCAAGACCCTACTGAAAGCTCACTGTACAGCGGGGTGAGAACCGCAAATGCCCACCCAAAATACACCAGATACACCTTTACGCCCTCTCATAATATTCTTCTAGACAAACAAGAGATATCTAGAATATACGTACTGGTCCTGCGTAGGGAATGAGGGAATTGGACATTTTGTATCCCCCTAGATACCTCGAAGGGATTCTGTGGGGTACTTAATTCCCTCCTTCCCTACTAAGAAGAGCTCTACTTGAAGGTTCATGGTACTCATTAGCCAGTTATAACTGTACTGATAACTGTATTTATAAGCATATTCGGGTTATTAGGGCACTTAAGGAGCTTCTAAGTGGGCTATAAGTACATTTCATTCTTATTGGTTAGCAAGTACCATGAACCTCCAAGAAAGACCTACATCCTACGGCCACTGCATCCACGGCCTCAAGAGCTGGTTAGCCGGGACTGCAGTCAGCTGGGGGGTTTATGACACCCTGCCAAAGTTTCACAGGCATCTAGGAAACAACGAGGTGCCCCCGTTTTTTGGTATAGAGCGTTCCTCTAAGAGGAATGGGACTACATCTGGGCATCCTGGTTTGGGGTTTAGGGTTTGGAGCAAGACCTCTTGCCCGGCTGGTCAGGACTGCTCTTAGGAAGCCGGGTCTGCTCCCCAGGTGCAGATGCCCACCCCCCTTGGCTGTGAGAAATAAGGGAGACAATTCCACTCAATCCTGGCACGAGGCTTGGAAAGACACGTATGGAGGTTTAATCATCGGGGACCCCCCAATTTAGATCCCCAAAATTGTAGGATTCCTTTAAAAATAAGGACCCCAAGAAGGTACCCCCTAATTTAGGCAACCCCCCCCCCATGATCCTGCGCCCACGATCCTACCTAGAAGGTTCATGAGGAAATACTATAGGGGCATAAACAATAAGAATAGGGTTCTTTTAGTAGATTTATTCTTCCGACCCCCTGTAGCATTGTAGGGGGCAGCTTTCGCCCTCGTTGGGATACTTACATGGCCGCGTATAACTACCCATGAACCTTCAGGTACATCCTAGACAAGTCGTCTTCCACGCGCCAATTGCTGTAGAGTGGCTCGAAAGCCTGCAAAGCTGCCTGGGTGGAGTGCATCGGAGGTCTTTTTTTGGCTTTGTGGGGACCCTAAACCCTAAACCCTAAGGGGGAGGCTTAAGAGCTCTTGGAGGCTCCCCACGCCGAAGCCCAAAGCCCCAGAAAAGACGAACCCTACCATCACCAACATCAGCCGCTCTCAAACCTCCCAATGGAATTAGAATAAAACACGGCCCAGCACATCGAAGCACGCCCCTACCGGTGCATCTCCTGCTTGCGCGCAGGGTTTCGGGTTTCTGACTTCGGTTGCAGGGTTTCGGGTTCAAGGTAACCCCTGCAATCCTATACCCTACACTGTTCAATCACCGAAGCCATTCCCTACTCCCCGCCCTAAACCCAACAGGGAGCCCCTAGACCATCTTGCAACGTAAGGTGCGCGTCTCCCCGGGCGCCGTGGGCTTTAGGTAGTGAGCTCCCACCCTGCTAGGAGCCAAAGCAGCATACTGGCCGGCGGCTGGGACTTGAGACACTAAAGGGTTAGGGTTTAGGGTTTAGGGTTCAGTGTTTAGGGTGTAGTGTTTAGGGGTTTAGGATTTAGGGTTTCGGGTTGTTGGGCCCTGTCCACCAGTCTCGCTTTAGGCTTATTTGGAGCTTAAGCTGGGGTTTGTAGAGTGGGGGCAAGATGTGCGCACGGAGAGGCATGCTGTCTGGCTGGTTCTTACTCGGGTATGGGGGAATGAGGGCCCCATCTAATGAATGAGGGCCCTATATAATCCCTTAAAGGGTATATAGAGGGCCCTCATTCCCTCATTTCCTACTAAGAACCAGGGGCTTGTTGGAACGAGGTGTCTCACTAGTTCCGCTTGTGATTGAACTCGTTCCTTGCAGCATACTGGAGAGGAATAAAACCCACTTGAGGGCTGTTTACTACCGTTATCATGATGGAGGAACAGCAAGTGCGATTGTAAAGACTCTGTTTCCCTCAGCCTTGCAAGGAAGCTGAACGTCACACCGGCGTGATCTTCTTCACATCTCCGACCCCAAAACCGATTATCTTTTTGTGCATTATATTGAATATGTTTTGCCTCTTTCATTTTATTCTATCTCTTTCTTTCTTTCTCTCTCTCTCTCTGTTGCTACAGCCCGAGGATCAACTTTGAGACCTCAAACGCTTGAGCCCTTGAACCCTAAATCCCACCCTTTAAACCCTAAACCCTTTTAAGCCCTAGCCCCTAAACCGTTTAAACCCTGAAGCCTCTTAAGGCCCTAGCCCGTGCAGTGCTGAGTATCTCAGTGCCTCATAGAGGACATCGATGGCTGTCACCAAGGCCTCGCCCAAAAGTTGCAAATCACAGAGGTTTAGGGTCTAGGGTTTATTTAGGGTGTAGAGTTTAGGGCAGGGTTTGGGTTTAAGGGCATAAGGGTTTTAGGTTTCAGGGTGTAGGGTTTAAGGGTTTAGGATAGTAAACCCCCATCTCGTGAGATTTTCCTGCGGGCACTCAGGATGCGAAGTTCTTGACAGTTTCAGGTGAGCATTTCCTTGTATGAGTCTTTCAAGAGTCTTATACAAACCGTAAGCTGTTTAGGGTTTCGGGTTTAGGGTGTTTATAAACGGCTTATGTGAACAGTAGCTGCCCCCCGGCATCTGTCCTTTATGCTAGCGTACAAAAGCAGGGTACCCGATTGTTCAAGAAAGTTACAAAGAGAGCGCAAACCCAAACAAAAATGCCGCTAACGGTATGTACTCTAAACCCTAAACCCTTAACCCTAAATCCTAAACTACAACTGGGCTTCCTAGTCGGTGTCCCTGACCAAGGCATCTTCTGCGGTCAGCACTGCGATGAGAGTAGTGTAGGGGTCAATTTTCTGGAGCTCCATTGACCCCAAATAGAATTAGATCCCCGCAAAGGGACCCCCAAAAAGGGTACCCCTATTTGGGAATCATAAGGGGGCACAAGAAGAAGGAAATCAAGTAGGTTCCTGAAAGTAATGCATCTGTGCTTCGCACTGAAGCTACCCAAAACACTCGACAAACCGACTGCCGCAGCCGAACGACCGAAGTGGAATTCCCGCAGCCCCTATGTCTAATAGAGGGGCCTGGCTAGTGTGAATGGGACCTACTTGAAAAGTTTGTATCTCAGATGATATAGGGATTGTAAAGGGATAGTCTTGGTCATGATTTGGGCTCCTGTATTCTACAAATCCCCCCTAAGCCCAGAGGGCTCTGAACCCATCAATTCCTGAGTCCCCAAAAGGCCCATCGACTCCTCCGCGCCTTCCTAAACCCTAAACCCGAAATAAACCCTAAACCCAAAACCCTAAACCCGAAGCCCTAAAAGGCACCTGGCTGCACTCTTCATGGTTCCTGGCATTGGCATTCTCAGCCAGCTCCGGTGCGATGAGGTAGAGGTACTGTCGCAGGCGGCAAAAGGCAAAAGGTCATGGGGTTTAGGGTTTAGGGTTTTGCAGTTAGGGTTCAGGGTTTAGGGTTTTGGGGTCAGGGCTTCGGGTTAAGGGGCTTTATGATACAAGGGACCATAAGGGAATATTAACAGTAATTATTCGACCCCTATGTTAATGCGGGCTTGGCAGTCGGATGTTAGGAGTTTCTTTTCTTGAAGATTCTTCAACTTCTTGCCTAGTCATGTTATTACGTGTCTAAGAAAGTTATACTTCTGGTTCGAACTGTAAAATGCCTGCTTTTATGGGGTTTGGGCGTTTAGGGTTCAGGGTTTTGGGGGGCCCTAGCGCAGTGACTGTTATAGAGGATGTAATTCCCACCGCGTGGACCCAACGTGGAAATTGCAAGAATGGACTCTAGCTTAGAGAGCTTGCCAAAAGCCAGTACCGACCCTAAACCCTATACCCTGAACCCCAAAACCAAATAAGGACATGGCATGGTCTCATCAGTTGTGAGTTGCTTGAAGACATCTGCTTACGGGACTTGGTTGAGGGGTTGAGTGTTCAGTTTAGGTTCCAGGGTTTAGGTTTCAGGGTTCAGGGTTCAGGGTTTAGGGTTTCAGGCGTGGGGGGGGTGGGCTGCAGTCTCAAGGCCCAATAGACGGCTTGCTAAACCCCAGGCAGAGCCCCGAAGAACGGCATTCCTCAACATGAAAACCCAAAACCCAAGATCAAAGCTCAAGGTCAAAAAGGCCCCCAAGCCCGTAAAACCCAACACCCTAAACTTAAGCCTTGAAATCCAAAGGTTTATGGTTTAGGGTTTGGGGTAGGCTAGGATACGTTACATTCCCTGCAATGGGATAAGCACAGGTAGCAGGTCACGGTAGCGTAGAGGTACAGAGATAGCATTTTTTTGGAAACTTCATATTACATACTGCAGGTGGTAAGGTCGTGTAGCAGCAAGCCCTTCAACCCTAAACCATTTCTCTTCCGTGCCTGGTTTCGGTCTGGCCGATTCTTGATGCGCGCGTACCTGTGGGAATCGGAGGTCTCCGTGGGCTTTGGGAACATTCAGCAATGAAGGCAGCTGAGATTGAATGGTTACCGTAGGATTCAGGGCTTAGGGATTAGGGTTTGGGGTTCAGAAAAGCCTGTGTTGCAAGGACAAGCCACATGGGAACAACTCTCGGCACGTACTACTTGCGGCATTAAATTCATAGCAGCCCTTTGAAATCTCACTGCAGGCTCTCCGCACAAGGGCCTTCCGATCAAGTTTGGGATTTCGCCCTCTTCGAGGACTCCACGAACTCGGACCCACCTCAGCAAATTCGGGCCAGCGAAGGAGGGGTGGGGGTTTCGATTTCAGGCTTGCACAACCATCAGCCGGTTTAGGGCATGTGGTCTGGGCTTGCAGCAGGGTTTAGCATTTAAGGTTGGGATGTTCCCCCTTATACTGACAATCCTTAATGGGGATTATAGTACCCACTGTTCGAATCCCTACTAAGGACTGTTAGTATAAGGAGGGAACAGCCCGAATTTAGGGTTTCTTGTGTGCCCCTAAACCCTAAACCCTAAACTAAGATTTAGGGTTCGTGGACCCGAGGCTCCCGGCGTGGGCACTTCGGGCCGCGTGGCGCGGTCCATGCGGTGTGCAGCGAGGTGCCCACGGTTGACCATCACGGTGGACCCGTCCTCCGTGCTACATGGGGTTTACGAAATTCCCTTATAATAAGGACCCCAAGAAAGTACCCCTTTATAACCAGGACCCCAACAGGGTACCTTAATTTCGGAAACCACCAAATGTCGAAAGCTGTGCGCCCGACCCTGAAAGGTCCCCTCCACAAGCCTTTGTGGGATCTCTTAGGGGTCTGTTGGTCAACGTAGGTTGCTGTTAGGGACTGCCGTAGCCGGGAAGCCGTATTCTCTTCGCATATCGCCATGTTAGGACAACTTAAACCTAAGCCCCTTCCACATGCAATCGAGCAAACTACTACTTTGCTGAAGAACACCCCAACAAAATACAGGATAATAATCCCTCTATTGCCTGAGTGGTTCCTGAGCAAACAGTAGAGAGTTTCCGTAGAACCCGAAACTCTAAACACTAAAACCCGAAGGCCCAATTATGCCATAATCATGCAAAACGAGGAGTCTCCAGTCCATGCTTCTCCAAAAACCCAGGGGGAAAAGAAGGTTAAACTTCATTATTCCTGCTGAATTACGGAAACCCAAAAAGTTTAAAGTTCAACTAAACCCTAAACCCTAAACCCTAAAACCTAAACCCTAAACCCTATTGGCTAAGTAAGAGTCTGTCCTCGAGGCGCAGGGGTGTCACCACGAGGACGCCCGGCGTGGTCTCGCCAGACTCATCCGACCCCGGTCGGGGACCCACGTGCATCTCCTGAGGATTACATGGGTTTAGGGATTAGGGATTAGGGTTTAGGGTTCAGGGGTTTAGGGTTTGGGGTTCTTGGGGTTTGGGTCAGGATTGCAGGGGCTTCTCTTTTTTGCTGCTGGGTTGCGGATTGAGGAACGTAGGCCCAACCAGCATGACATGCATAGTAATCAGATGGTTCCATTTTTATGGCCGACGAACTTAAATAGAGGGAAGGCTCATAGGCATCGACTGAGGCCCCGGCATTGGTGTGGTCGAAAACCCCGCGGACCTGCAACCCTAAACCCTAAACCCTAAACCCTAAACCCCCAAACCCAAAATCCGATCTGTGGGTCGCAGAGAAACCTACGTAGGAGATGGGGCCAGGGGGGGGTGCTTGGGGTCTTCTGGGGGCCTTCAAAAAGGAACTCTTTAAAGGAGAAAAAAAAGGTCTTCTTGGCGGCCTGTGAATGCAAATGGACAAAGTCCCCCCCCTTCCCCCGCGAGGGTTTAGGGTTTAGGGCTTTAGGGTTTAGGGCTTAGGGCTAAGGAAGGCGAGTGCTGGGGGATCCTCAGATTCAGACAGGTTATTAGAAGACAGCTCTGCTACACCTCCATAGCTGCCCAGGGCGACCTTCCTTCCCATGCTACAACGACCTGACCCCAAAACCCCTCAAAATCTCGGCAGCCCAGCAACCGTACTATGAGGTTTAGAGGGGAACAGTGTCCCCTTTGGTGCAGGTGTTAGACCCAGAAATCAACCGTGCCAAGCGGTTTTAGACCCACCTGCTCGAAATTTCAGGTTGTCCGGTAACCTCGGACGAACAAGGGAGCCCTTTTGTGCTCAAAGGGGTTCAAAAAGGAAACAAAACTCAGGGTACTTCTTGGCATCCTCGAATTCGGATGCCTCCACCACGCGGTAGATGTAGTCCTGGACCTGCTCGGGGTGTCTTGGGATGGGGTCCAGCTCCCAGAATCCAATCCCCAAAGTGCCAGGGCATTCAGTAGTAGGTTTAGGGTTTATGGTTTTGTCGGTTTAGGGTTTAGGGTTTTAGGGTTTAGGGTTTAGGGTTTTAGGGTTTTAGGGTTTTAGGGTTTTAGGGAGTTTTAGGGTTTTGGGACTCTTTGGGGATACCCCTTGGGGGGGGCCCCTCTGCCCCCCAAAATCACCACCCTCAACCTTATGGAAGAATCCTAAACTCCTGAAGCCTCCCCAAGAAATCCTAACCCTAAACCCTAAACCCTAAACCCTGAACCCTAAACCCTCCCTTCAAGCATCCTTAGGCCCCCTCCAGCCCAGGGCCTGGTCCTTCCACGGGAAGGGGCTCCCAGTGACCTCGCGCAGCAAGGACGCGCAATAACATCGCGAGATAATACCAAGATCTTGCGCGATTACCCAAGTTTGTGCGTGAACTATTTTTGGTGGTTTCCGCCACGTTTTGCCCCGGTCATCATTTACCAGAGCCCCTCACCAAACGACCGATTGGCGACTCGAAAAAACAAACCCATCCACGATCCAATGACACACGCAAGGCCACACTCCTGATGCCCACTGTCTTAGATATATAGCCCAAATCCTACACCCATGGAGCTTCATAGGAGCTTGAACCGGACCCCTATCATCCCTGCATCCACATTAAGACCAGCGAGGCCGTGGTCAGCCCGTAAGCCAACAAGGTTTTCTGCAAACAGCAACAACGCCCCACGACACGACTACCGATAGTCTGAATCCTCCAGCTTGAAGCCCGAAATCACAGCCCTTGCATTCTAGTCCTTGTAGGAGGGATCTGTAGTGTTTGTTTGTGTGTGTGTGTGTGTGTGTGTGTTTCCTTTGCGTCACTCTGCTCTATTCACGGGTGGTCAGCGAAGCGTGCGAGGCGACTTGAGCATCAGAGCCTAATCCTCTGATGGGGTTTAGGGATTAGGGTTTAGGGTCAAACATCTGGGGCTTACGAACGTAGGGGTACCCTTTGGGGGGGTCCATTTAAGGAGATTCTGGTCTATTTGGGGTATGAAAGGGTGTACCCCTATTTTTGGAAATGTCCATCTGAAAATATTCCCAAATATAGTAGAAGGAAAGTATCACTAACATATCCCAGGGCCTGCCAAGCCAATCAGTAGGGCTTAGGGCTTAAGGGCTTCAGGGTAAACCCGAAACCCTAAACACTAAACCCGGAAAGATGTTGGGTTTGGAGTTTCGGGAGGGCTTGGGATTTCGGAGTTTGGGATGCTCGAAACAGGGGCTGTAGTGCTACATCGTGATTGTGCAGTACGCGGACGCCCTCAGTAGCCCAGCGAAGCGCCAGCAAGGGAACATTCCCTAAATTGCGGTTTAGGGTTTAGCAGGGGAAAGAAGCCCCCCAAAAGGGAGCTGTAACATGTACCAAGCACCCCACGCCCCCCCTCCCCCCCCCTCCCCCACCCCAGACTGCTGATAAAGCTGCCTGAGATATGCAAGCCCAAGTGTGCACCGAACTCCAACAACCTAAAAAACACTGAACCCATACACCCTGAACCCTAAACTCTAATTTCCAGAGCCCTCAACCCCTGGGCCCCAAAAGCCCCTTAGCCCCACAGATTTCCGGGAGGTCTTGCCCCAAACCCCAAACCCTAAAACCCTTGGGGCCTGGATTCGGGGCATGGCCAGGCGCTGGCGTCGCATCTCGATCAGCTCCTTCTTCCATTTCATCCTGGCAGTGGGCTTAGGTTTTTTGGGGTTTATGGTTTAGGGTTTCTTCCATTTCGTCCTGGCAGCGGGGGGAGTTTCTCGGTGTGGGGTTGTTAGATTTTAAGCTCAACTCTTCTCCTCGCCCGGAACTCTTCTCCTCGCCCAGTCTACTCCTCGCTCATCCCTGGGGTGCCCAACTCTAGAGTGTTCTTGGAGTGCCCAACCCCAGAGTCTCGCTGGAGTGCCCAACCCCAGAGTCTCCCTTGAGTGCCCAACCCCAGTGTCTCCGGAGTGCCCAACCCCAGAGTCTCCCTGGAGTGGCCAACCCCCGGAGTGCCCAGCCCCAGAGTCTCCCTGGAGTGCCCAACCCCAGAGTATCTCTACCAAGAGAGGGTGGGGATGTTCGAAGTAAAATAATTTGTTTACTTATTCATGTATTTATCTAACCTTTTCGAATGATGGCGATCAGAGTTGTTATTGCTGGCTCTTAGTTAATCGAAGATTAAGCAAGCAGACGCCTCCAGGCGATAGGGAACTTGCTTTCCTTATAGCTCTCTCCACTCAGATTTTCGACGGCCATGCTGTTGTGAAAGCGTCCTTTGGGGCCCTTATGGTCGCGCTCTGCCGATTGTGCCAGCGGCTTAGGGTAGTTGCCTGCATGGTTTCCTTAATACGCGCCCTTGATTGGGGAAGCCTTTATATACCCCTTAGACTATAACGGGGCCAGCAACCCCCTCGTTACGCGCCTCATGCAAAGAGGACGTCAAACCTGCAGGGTAGCCCGGTTCATGCCACATGGGGGTTTACTATCTTCGGGGTACCTTCTTGGGGTCCTTACTATCCTGATCATCAGGGGCTCCTGCTATTTGGGGGTCTATATTCGGCGTAAGGCCGGTTCATGCCATATGGGGGTTTACGATCTTCGGGGGTACCTTATTGGGGTCCTTATTCTCAGGGGCTCCTGCTATTGGCGGGTCTATTCGGGGTGCCTTATTTTCGATTGCCACAAAAACCCACAACGCCCTCAACTCGAAGCCCATCAGGGGATGTGGCAGCCGCTTCCCTCCCATTCGCCTGCGCAGCTGCCACATCCCCAGGCTGGACACCAGGAGGAAGCACATCTTCGGTTGAGGCTTTGGGGTTGAGGGTTTTGGGGCGTTTAGGGGCTTAGGGATTTAGGGGTTGGGGTTTAGGGTTTCGCGTTTGGGGGCTAGGCCCGAGCTCAGAAGCGGCAGAACTGCCCTAAACGGTGGCGCGGCCTTTGGGCGTGGAACGGGCTTGAAAGGGTTTGATGCTCAGGGGTGCTTCTCTTTCGGCATGAGCAGGGCGCAGGCCCAGGCCTTGAATTTTGTGGGGAATGGTATCAGGGTGGGGGATGAGGGTTTAGGGCTTCCCCCCGCCCCCCAATGTTTTGTCTCCTGGCCTGGGGAATTTGAGCCACGCATGCCTGTAAACACAAAACCCTCGTCGGCCTTTAACAGCCCCTTTGCAAAATATTAGTACATGGGGTCCCGTATGAACCCCAAAAGGAAAATCTGCAATATTGTAAAGGCCAAACTAAACCCTAAGCCCTAAGCCCTAAGGCCTAAGCCCTAAACCCTAAGCCCTAAACCCTGAACCCCAAACCCTAAAGTGCTAACCTTGTTAAGACTTCCGAAGGGTTTTAAGATGTTGGGCTTTCGGACGCGACGAAGGGTTTGGCGCTTCTTCAACGCCGGGTCGCAGCACCGGTGGCCAGCAGCTGCCACTTCTCATCCCCGCGGATGCCATACTGCCTGTGAAATATTAACTGGGGCTTAGGTTTTGTGGCGTCAGGGCTTGCTTTGTTCTTTTTTTTTTGGGGGGGGGATTCTGTTTTTGTAAGAAACGGGTTTAGGGTCTAGGGTTTTGGGGGCGGAAGGGCTGTACGGGAACAGGTCCGAAAGGGTAGGAGCTCCTAGCGGGGCCCTTAATGCTCCTGCCGCCCTAGCTCCGGACAAGCCGAAGTAGCGCCAAAATCTACGTAACCCCGAGCTTTCTCCCCTGTGCTCTCGCGTCTCTCTGTTTCAGGCAACCCTAAACCCTAAACCCTAAACCCTAAACCCTAAACTCTAAACCCTAAACCCTGAACCCTAAACCCTAAACCCTCCTTTCATGGGGGTCGGAGGCTTCTAGCCTGCAGGGTGCTTGGTAAGGGGATGCACATTTTCTCAGCACACGTCTGTGGTCTCCTGAAGGCAGGGCGGGACTTCTACACCGCGCTGGCCTTGTAGGTGACCCAAAGGGGAAAAAGAGATCCGAAGATGGCATTTTGCGTGTCTTGCTCTAAAGAAGATGCTAGTGCTAGTGCACTCATCAGACTTTCGCAGGCCTCAGTCCTCGTAGACTTGCTTCATGGACTGCCGGATGAGCAGCTCCAGTCCTGCGGCTGTGTGGGGGTCCTGCACGGCCTTGCGAAGACCTTGGTAGCCCAGTAACCATATTCTAGTAAGGGCACTTTTGGTTGGTTACTGTAAAAGCGCACCTTGAACCAAAAAAAGGGGACCCTTGAACCAAAGAACGGGTAAAGTGGTAAAGGGGTACCACTGGGCTACCAAGAGACTGGGCAGACATAGCCACCAAAAGCTCGGCTGAAGCTGCACCGGTTGCGGCTTCAAAGGTCCTTCCCTGGTCGAATGGGCGGACTGCATGTACGAAGAGGAGAGCTTTTGCACTGCCTCACGGGAGAAGCCCAAGGTCACCACGACCTCGGCTCCTGCGCACGTCTTGCTCACAAAGGTCGACGCCTTGCGAAGCATCTTCTCCGAGTCGGTGACCACGCACACTCGGACGTCGCAGCGGTCGCTTCTCCTGTAGGGGATAGGATTAGGGGGCCCCTTGGGGACATAGACCCTCTGAATAAGGTCCCCCTGTTTAAAAAGAGCCAGAAGAGGGTGAAGAAGGGGTTCCCTTTTCAGGGTCCCCCCCCTTTATCCTAGCTTCTCCTGCTGAGCTCTTCGATGATGGGCTTTGCCTCCCGCCAGTGTGCGACAAGCAGAGTACCTGGATAGGTGCTGGAGTGCCTGCAGTCCAGCCAACCGAGGAACTCTGCTCCCTTCCTTAATTGTCCAGTATTTTTTTGGGGAACTAAAGGTTAACCTTTGGGATTATAAAGGGAATAAACTACCCCAAAAAGGTTAAAAGGTTACCTACTGTACTGCTAAGCTTCTTGTGGCAGATGAGCTTACGACCGAATCGGGTCGCAAGAAGCTCCAGCTCTTCGTGTACCGGCGAATGCTCCCTCTTCAAGCAATGCTCGAAACACCATGCAAGCCAGACATCACCTTCATTCGCACCACCCACACTGCATGAGATTTGCTCCATCATGTCCCTGTTGCAAAAGGAGGCAAAAGCTACCTTAGGTACAAATGCCTGCAGCACATCCACAAGTATTCCGTGATTGTGTGCACTTGTTTGGGGTTTAGGGCTCTATTGGGGCATTCCCAAAAAAAGGGGGTACCTACAATATGCCACCACATGCTATGAAAAACCTTGCTCTGAGACCCCCGCCCCCCCCGCCAGTACCCCGCCCGGCGAAGCAAGTACCGGGGTTTAGGGTTTAGGGTTTTTTGGTTTAGGGTTTTGGGTTTAGGGTTTAGGGGCCCTTGGGGGTTTTGGGGGCTTCGGGGTGTTGGGGGTTTAGGAGTTTTGGGGAGAACCCCGAAAGAAACCGTGAGCCCCCAAAGTTGCCGTTTCGGAACCAAAACCCTGAAAACCCTGAAAACTCTGATGAAAACCCTGAAAACCCTGAAAACCCTGAACCCTACACCCTAAACCCTACACCCTAAACCCTATTCCCAAACCCTAAACCCGGAACCCTGAACCCTGAGCCCCAGCCGGCCTATTGCGTACGGTGCGCGCCACAGGGCTGGTGACCTGAATCCACGCGGACTGGTGGCCCTGCTAGAACCAGTTGAGGTAGAAGATAGGGGTACCCCTAAACCCTAAACCCTAAACCCTAAACCCTAAACCCTTTAGGGGCTTTCAGGTTGTAAAGGTTAACAGACTAGTTTGGCGCTTAAAACCCCTCTGAAAAGTTCCCAAATTTCATCTCAAAGCTCCAAGGTCCTACCTAGCAGCAAAAGCTGCACAGGTGTTCGGGGTGAAGGGTGACCTGTTCAGCTACGAGAGGTAGAGAGCCCTCCGGTGACTTTTGCTGGGGTTTCTGGCTTCCTTTCTTGGGCTGTCGAGTTGGGTTCAGTCCTTCGGGCCCGAAGCCCTAAACCTTGAACCCTATTTCTTGCCCGAAACCCGAAACCCTAAACCCTGCTTCTTGCCCGAAACCCGAAACCCAGAAGTTGAAGGGGGCCGGGGGGAGGGGGGGGGGGTGAAGAGTACCACAGCCCAGGGTGTGCTGAGGTGGCGCACAGGATCCGACAAGCGCACCAGCCTGTCCGTGTCAGGGGCTGGGTGTAGCCCTAAACCCTAAACCCTAAACCCTAAACCCTAAATTAGGGTTGAGGGTTTCGGGTTGAGGGCTGAGTATGTGTAGTCCACCAATGGCAGACAGAGCAGAGTTGAGGCAGCAGGAGGGTTGCAGAGAATGGCTTCGAGCTCCGGGGCTACACTCGCCTAGGAGTAGGGTTCCGGGCTGTTTTCATCCTCCCCCCAAGAATCCTACAAAGGTGCCGCATGCGGGGGAACCCTGCTCTTTTTTCCAGACCCTGAGCCCTAAAGCCCATACAGCTAACTCAACTCAAGCTCCTGAAGATCTATCTTAACCCTAAACCCGAAACCCTAAACCCCAAACCCTCAACCCTAAACCCCAAACCCTCAACCCTAAACCCCAAACCCTCAACCCCAAACCCCAAACCCTAAACCTGAAATTGCTGTCTTTAGAGCTCCCTGCCTGATGATCACGGACCCCTCGACTTGAAAGGGCGTCGGGTACATGAGTTGGGACCTGAGCTTCCCCGCTTCCTTCCCCAGTTTGAGTTTAGGGTTTAGGGTTTAGGGTTTAGGGTTTAGGGTTTAGGGTTTAGGGTTTAGGGTTTAGGGTTTAGGGTTTAGGGTTTAGGGTTTAGGGTTTAGGGTTTAGGGTTTAGGGTTTAGGGTTTAGGGTTTAGGGGTTGAGGGTTTAGGACTAAAGGTATACTTGGAAGCCCTTTTGACTTAGCAAGTAGGGCTTGTGAGGTGGGCTATGGGGATCATCATAGGGGTTTCTAGGGGATACGAAGTAGACTTGCTAAGTCAAAGAGCTTCTACTTAGGGTTTAGGTTTTAGGGTTTAGAGTTTAGGGTTTAGGGCTTAGTTGTCCAGTAATCTGGGGGAATCAGGGTTAACCTTTGGGATTATAAGGGGATTATACTGCCCCAAAAAGGTTAAAGGTTTCTACTCTACTACTAGGTCTAAGTAGGGCAGCCCCTTCGTTTGCTTGCGCTATGCAAGACAAGCAAGCTTTCTGCAAGAATCACGCAGGCAACAATCGAAATACAGCCGCAGTAGTCATATTTTTTCCTACGACTAACAGTAACTTTTACATCTATGCTCAACCTCGGACAATGGAGGCCCTGGATTCTTCTAGTCTGCGGAACTCGTGAATCCCGGTTACAGCCGAACCTCCTTCCTTGCACGAGGCGCGGAAATCCCCGAATCGATAGGCAAATCGGAAAGCACGAGCCGAGCGTGAAACCCTCAACCCCAGACTCCGAACCCTAAACCTGCAGGGTACTATTTGTGGGGGTTCTACTTCTGGGATCCTCCCAAAGGTCTGGGATTGAGGACTTTCAAACAAAAAACTAGAAGGGTTGGCGTGCTCCAGAATTCTTGATTGCTGCTTTCTGGGAAGTGGCCCTGCCCTGACGCTGCTTCTCAAGCCGGGTTTCGGGCTTGAGGGTTTACAATCAAGACATTAGTCGAGTTACCAAACATGAAACTTAAAGAACAAGTTTTGCGTGTAGCCTGGCAATAATGTCGTGAGTAGACATGACTCGACATTATTACAGTCACAAGAAACGACAGTCAAACATGCTGAAGCTCTAATGAGGTCTAGAGTACACATGACCAGGCATTGTGACAGTCACTCACAACAGGCAGTCAGCAACATTGAGGCTCTAATCCTGGCCGTTTAGGGTCTAGAGGCTGTTTCGGGGGGTCCTCGGGTTTAGGGTTTAGGTAGGGTTTAGGGTTCCCAAACAAAAGGTGGTAGCACTAGGGTAGGCGCTGGCTAAGAATTTCGATGTCCTCCTTGCTTGCAGGCCAAAGCACCTGCGGTCGTCTTGTCTAAAGCCCAATCTTAATTGGGATTTAGGGTTTAGGGTTTAGGGTTTAGGGCCTAGTTGTCCAGTAACCTGGGGGAATTCAAGCTTAACCTTTGGGATTATCCGGGGATTATGCTACCCCAAAGAGGTTAAAGGTTGCCTACTCTACTGCTAGGCCAATCTTGGTAGGGTTTAGGGGTTCTGGGTACCACTGGGCTACCAAGAATTTCTGCGCGCGAGTGGCGCAGAGCTTCGATTTTCGGCTGTGTTTTCTGAAGGAGAAATACTATGCCTGGGTATTGAGAAGCCTTTACGGGGCGTAGAGTTGCCCCAATTGCCAAAGGTTACCCGCCCAGCATGACAGTTGTAGCCTTCGGACTGCCGATTTCAGACTTTAGGGTTTAGGGGCTGCTTGTTGGGTCTTCTGACTGGCGAGCTTTGCCTTAGCGTTCTGGAGAGGGCCTTCATTTCTGCAGGGTGAAAGCCGACAATACGAGCAGCTGGACAGCTGCACGTCACAGGACTTAAAATGCCCAAGGCTTGTTTGTGGGCCGGGGGGTTGGAAAACAGAAGCACAGGCGGTGCTGTGATCTTCCGAGTAGCTTCGTCTCAGGGTTTAAGCTTTTGGACGGCTTTAGAGTACGTCATACATCTTCCTGGATTTGTTAACCCCTGAACCCTAAACCCCTAAACGTGCTTCAAGCTACTTCGCCCCAGCAGCTGTGGCCTGAAGACCCAGTGCCCACCCGAAAGGAAGGCGCCTGCCCAGTCGTAGTGCGGCTCCGGACGATGACCTGAGCTGGGACCCCTTCTGCTGCCCTGAAGGAGCTTTCGAAAATAGGGCACCCTATATATATATATATATATATATAGAAAAAAGTATATATATATATATATATATACATATATCTCAGATCTAGCATCATCCTCTTCTGAAAAGCACCTGAAAAGCATCCCCCCCCAAAAAAAAAACAAACAACAACAAACAAGAGATAAAACAAGAGAGAGAGAGAGAGAGAGAGAGAGAGAGAGAGAAGAATAACTGAAAAAAGAGTATAACCCCTCAACGCCCCTTTAAAGCCCGGAATACTACAATTGTCTTTGAGGGGGTCTTGGGGTCCTGGATAGGATTTGACGTTGGGTGTCTCCGCCGTAAAGAAACACCCCTTCGGCACATGGGAACTTGGACGGGCCCGTTTCAACTTTTCTGACGCTCCTCAGCCTGAGGTTAGGGCTTTGGGGACCCCGGCCGGGCACTCTAGCAAAACAATACTCTTATTACTAGCCTCTCACACCTTAAGCCCCAACACGCGGCAAGCATGCAGAAGGCTGTGAGGGACGCCACCCTAAATCCCTTGCCTATCCCTAAACCCCAAGGCCCCAATACCCTAAGCCCTATATTCCCACATCATGATATTATTCTGCTACTATATTAGGGGACACAACATATATATATATATATATTTTTTTTTTCATATAGTGTTTTTATATATATTTAAAAAATATATCTATGTGATGATGAACGCATGCCATTTTTGTATTCTCATTTCTACTGTATTATCACTTCTACTCCAGAGAGGCCCTAAACCCGAAAGCTCCCGTTCTGGGCTTCCTCAGTGTGAGGCGTCCTTCTCCTCAGAGACGATGCTGGGATCCTCGCGCACTTTGGGGCTGGGTTTAGGGTTTAGGGTTTAGGGTTTAGGGTTTAGGGTTTAGGGTTTAGGGTTTAGGGTTTAGGGTTTAGGGTTTAGGGTTTAGGGTTTAGGGTTTAGGGTTTAGGGTTTCGGGTTTAGGGTTTAGGGTTTAGGGTTCAGGGTTTAGAGTTTACAGGGTTTACAGGGTTCAGGGTTTTGGGGTGGGTGGGCTCAGGATATCTGCGGGGGTTGGCCCTGGTGGAGGAACGACCCTAGAATTCCAGAGCCCAAGCCCTAAACCCGAACTCCTAAACCCCAAATCCTCCCACCAGAAAGATGGGAAGTAGGGCTTTTTGGGTTTAGGGTTTAGGGCTTAGGCAATGTAAGCCCAAGAAGGTCCCATTAGGACAGCTTCGGGGCTGTTGTGAAAGGGTGCACCATGAGCTTGCCCCCTTCAAATCGTCTGAAACGCATTCTCCACTGTGATTCTCTTAAACCCCTTGTAGAGGAGCATAATATGTATACCAAGGGCCTACCTAGGTGGGTTTAGGGTTTAGGGTTTAGGGTTCCTCCAACAAGAATCGCCCCCAAACTCAAGTCAGAACCCGCCAGGAAACCTGCAAAGGGAACTGGGCAAAGTAACTGACTACCCGGAATTCATATGCAGCCGGTTCCCGAACAACTAGCACCTAGAGCACTACTCAGGGGCACCTGATCTCTCCTGTTCCCCAAAAAACCTCAAAAACACAACACAAACCCAGGTGTCACTTTAGATGGAGTTTTTGGTGGAAGCCAACGGCCCACAGACGACAATGAGGGTGCCTCCAAAGGGTGCTTCATTAAGCCCTAAGCCCTAAGCCCTAAGCCCTAAGCCCTAAACCCTAAACCCTAAACCCTACCAGCTACCCCTCTTCTCCCCCAAGAAGCACACGCAGGCACACCAGGTCGGTACTCCTCCTAAACCCCAAGAAGGAAAAACAGCATCCTGTCAAATCCAATCAGATAAGGGGAAAAGAACACATCCCAAGGGCCTACCCTAAACCCTAAACCCTAAACCCTAAACCCTAAACCCTAAACCCTAAACCCTAAACCCTAAACCCGAATCAGACGCCCCGTCCTTCAGCCGCAAGGGTACCTGGGGTGGTGGCGCCTCAGAACATTGAGCCGAGGGACTTTCTCCAGGGGGTCGTCATCATTTGTAGAGATGCGCAGATAAGCACACATACATATAGATATATGTGTATATATATATATGTATACATATATATATATGTATCTGTGTGGATATCTATATATACTCTCCCTCCCTCTCTCTCTTAAAGTCGCATTGTGCCTGCCTTGTGCTTCTTACATGGAAGGCTTCTCCTTCCCCCCCTACTTTGGAGTGGACCCTTGAGGGAAAAAAGCATATACTTTCAAGGTATAAGTAGCTATAACAGGAACCCAGAACCAAAAGAAAAAAAACATTAAAGTATAGCACTCCAAAACCCAGCTTCCAGGGATTCTTTGAAGAGTTTGGAGATGTCTGCGGGTCATTGGAAGGCGTTTCAAGGGGCTCTCAGGAAGCATTGGAGCGGCCCTGCAGGGTTCCCAGCAACCCGAGCAGCCTTGAAGGTATTAAGGAGTTTCCTGAAAGAGTTTAGGGTTTTGGCTTTAGGGGGTTAGGGGATTAGGGTTTAGGGGTTTAGGGTTTAGGGTGCGCACGGCATTTCAGACCATGAAGTTTAAGGTCTACTTCGTACTCGTGGAAGTATTGGGAATTTCAGGCTCACACGGGATGCTGCCATGGCGGGATGAAGCTGTATCTGGGGGCGGGAGGGGGGTGGATCTAACAACCAGAGACCCGAAGTCCTGCACTTTAGCCCTCCCCCCCCCCCATTTCAAACTCCACGGAATACATAGTTCGGGTAGGATGTACAGTACTTCAATTTCTCGGTTGTTCATGGCAGTCTTGATTGAGGCTCTAAGTGTGGCAGCTGTAAACGTTTAAAACTCTATCTTAGGTGCGTATACGTCGGCAGGTAGTACTTCCCCCCCTCCCCTCCCTTCCCTCCCCATGAACCCTTGAACTCGTGAAACCGTGAACCCGCGACGAAACCATGAACCTTCACTTTAGGGCAGCCTGATGGGGCCCTGAGCGCTGCCATGTGAGAACGAAGGAACATTTTTTCCGGATGTTGCTCGGGTCCTCTGAAGGTTGCGAGCGTGGTGGAAGTCTAAAACCGCACAGGTCGAGCGGATGTCCATTAAAACGCCTCTAGATGGCGGAAACGCGCGTTGCACTTCTGACAGAACGCATTGACATGACTTGCGCATCATCAGTCCTCGTAAACTTGCCACATGGTTCGCTGGATGAGTTGCTCCAGCCTGGCAGCCGTGATGGGGTCCTGAACGGCCTTGATAAGACCTTCGTTGCTGAGTTCATAAACCCCCCCCAAAAAGCGTACACTTTCAGTTTTGTAGGGGATTCTAGTATCCCACAAAGTGTAAAGTGTACTCACTCAGCTACTAAGAGACTGGGCAGAGAGAACCCTAACGTCTCATCTGGCGTGGGCACCGGCGACGGTGACGTCGCATGGGTGTGTATGTAAGATGAGACAAACTTCTGCACGGCCTCCCGGGAAAAGCCCAGTGTCACCAGGAGCTGGGCTCCTGTTCTCTGCCGACTGGCGAAGAGGGACGCGTTGCGAAACGCCTTCTCCGTCTGTGCGACCATGCACGTTCGGACATCGCGGCGGTCGCTTCTCCTGCTGAGCTCTTCGATGGTGGGCTTTGCTTCCCGCCAGTCTGCCACAAGAAGAGCCCTGGCGTGCACCCCATCATCCCCATCAAGCCAGCTCAGAAAGCCGGTGGACTTCTTAAAGCAGGTGAACTTGCAACCAAACATGGCCGCAAGATGCTCCAGCTCTTTGCGTACCTGCCCATGTTCACTTTTGAAGCAATGCTCGAAGCACCAGACAAGCCAGACGTCGAGTTCGTCTGCTCCGCCAGCACGCGTGCTGCGAGGCATTCGTGCAGTCATGTGAGCCGTCAGGACCCTCAATCCAAGCCCCAAGCCCTAAACCCGAAACCCTAAAAACCCTTAACCCTAAAACCGGGCAACCCTGCCTTGAACGCAACTGTCTGCGGAAAGGAAGTCGCTCACATGGGAATGCGTATTGGCTACAAGCTTCATGTACTACTTCTTTTACTACATATGTGTACTCGTTAGACTACGGAGACTCTGATCTATATGTATATGTATATATATATATAACATGTATGCATACAACATATGTATGTATGTACGTATGTACGTATGTATGTATGTATGTATGTATGTATACACACACACACACACACACACTGTATTTACATATAAGTGCGATGCAAACTCTGGGAAATACGGAAACATATGCACCATTCAGGACGGGGACGCACAAGGAAGACTGGACCAGGGGCCGGAAATTCCCAAACCCCAAACCCTCAGCCACAAACTCCTCCTTTCACACAGGCACAGAACCCTAAACCCTAAACCCTAAACCCTTGCAAAACTAAGCTCGCAGCCTCCGAGGGGGTGGCCAAGCGGTCGGCAGCCTCACTTGAGGCTTTGTGCAGCTCGACTGCCCCGAAAAAGGGGTCCGACTAACGATTTGAGGAGTATCCCTTAAGTCTTCACCCTAAACCCTAAACCCTTTAAACAAAACAGGAATCCAAATACGAGCTTGTGAATCCCCCAGAAAACGAGCTTTCAGGGGCAGTTGGAGAAAGGGCTGGACAGGGTCTAGCAACTTCGCAGCCTATTTTGAGGTAAATTTAGGGTTAGGGTTTAGGGTTTAGGGTTTAGGGTTTAGGGTTTAGGGTTTAGGGTTTAGGGTTTAGGGTTTAGGGTGATCCTAACCCCAACGCACCAAATCCCTTTTCTGTCGAGAACTGACCAGATCTAGGAAGGCCTCTTGGGGAAGCAAACACCTTGGCACAGCAAAGGGCTTGGCTGCACTTAGGAGGGTAGTTAAAATTTTTAACTTTTGGCTGCCTTATCAAGGAACCCAATAAGCCCAAAAAGGCTAAGGATCTAAACCTACAGTAAAGAACCACAAAGAAGGCAGCTGCGAGACCCCGTAGCTTCCTTCTAAGGATGAGTTCCAGCGCCGTTCGCGCCACCTTTGGCATAGCTCCTTGCGGGACCCTAAGCTCCAAGGGTTCAGGTTTAGGGTTTTTAGGGTTTTCAGGGTTTTTAGGGTTTTCAGGGTTTTCAGGGTTTTTAGGGTTTTTAGGGTTTAGAGGGTTTAGGGTTTAGGACCAACCGGACTTGAAAAGGCCCCCCCCCCATTGCCTCCTCGAAGGCTGCGGCATCCTCAGCAATGGGCCCATGCTCCTTGACGTGGTCCTCTGGGTTTGGGGTTTAGGGTTTAGGGTTTGGGTTGGGATGTTCCTCCTTATGCTAACAGTCCTTCATAGGGTTTACAATGGAGGGGGGGGGTACTCTAATCCCTATTTAGGGTTTAGGGTTTAGGGTTTGGGGTTTAGGGTAAGGACTGTTCGTATACAGGGGGAACATCCCAACAACAGAAAGCCCTGCTCCCGCAAGGGTTGGGTGTTTAGGGTTTAGGGTTTAGGGTTTAGGGTTTAGGGTTTAGGGTTTGGGGTTTAGGGTTTGGTGTTTAGGGTTTAGGGTTTAGAGGTAGCCTTTGCGGGATGAGGCCGCTCTCCTCTATGCGCCTCTCCACGAAGCGGGTCTCCTGCCTCAGCAGACATATCACATGCAAATTCGACCCTTTCATCATGGGTTCGCCTACTACCCCCCTTCTATACTACCCCGCAGGTTCCCCCCTTCAAATTAATTAAGGCTTGATTATTCCTAAATAGCCTTAGTTATGGGGGGAGCCTAGTGGGGGGGGGGGGGGGGTAGTATAGAGGAGGGTAGCCTAAACCCTAAACCCCCATGACTTTCAGGCTGCTCCAAGAACAACTCCTGCAAAAATCGAAGGCTCGGACCTTAGCTTGCCGCGGCTCAAGAGCAGACTGGGGCACGCGCTGAAGATCTAGGAAGGTGGTGGTATCCACGGGCTCCAACTGAGCAGCTCGGGCTTAGGGGCCTTTAAAGCTTAGCAAGCTTAGCGCTTAGAGTCTTCGTGGCCTTGCAAGCGGCCGAGCTTAGGGTTTCTTGGTGGCCATAGCATATGTTCCTGTACAACCTTTAACCACAGCACAAGCAAGATTATGTAGAAAAAAATTATGTTTGTGTGTCTATATTGTACATCTTTTGTTTATCAATGAAAGTTTGTAGACGGCCGTGTCTAGTACCCATACTATAGTGAAGGCACCCTTGCTTGGTTGGCTACTAATAAGAACCACCCTAAACCCTAAACCCTAAACCCTAAACCTTCTCAAAGAGTGGGATAAGGGCCTTGCTCCGGGTCCTAGTACATGCGTTGCCTCCTCTGCTACTTGCTTAAGAGCCCCCCCCCCCCCCCAAAAAAAAAGGAAGCGAAGAGACTCATCCCTATTTTTCCCTTATAGGGAAGAAGACATAGAATTTTTTGGCTGGTTCTTAAGCAAGAAAAAGTAGTTCTAGGTAGGATAGAAGCTCTACATGTGGTAACGGCTCTGCAACCGCGGCTTTGAAATCTTCAGCTACGGCAAATGCAACCCTGCGTACAAGGTTTTGTTGGATTCCCTAAGCCCTGAACCCTAAACCCTAGACCCCTCCCTTGGTTTCGGGTTTAGGGTAAAGTTTTTGTCCGACTCTATCGTCTGCAAAAACCAAGCCCAAAGCACTTCCCATCCGCAACTGAAAAAAAAACTGCCGGGTCGGCCCTCTCCAACCTTTTCAAGAATTTAGGTCTTGATACATAGGGTTTAGGATTTAGGGTTTAGGGTTTGGGAGATCCTCTTTTAATCCACTGCAAATTCTAGATACGACAATGGTAAAGGCAAAAAGGGGGCAACTATATACAAGATCTTGAGGGCACCCAGAAACCCTTCAACTCAATTCCGAAGCCCCTGAGCCCTAAATATTCACTCTGAACCCTATCCCTAACGCCTAAACCCCTAACCCCTCAACAATAAAAAATGAACTCACTCAACCCAAAGAAACCTTAATACCCCAAACCCTAAACCCTAAACCCGAAACCCTAAACCCGAAACCCTGAAAGGCCCTTGAAACTTGGAACAACCCCGCCCCCCCGCCCCACCCAACACCCTCACACCCTCAAAAGCCCCAAAAGCCTTTCAGCCCCACCCTAAAGCTGACTAAAGACGCTAAACCCCAAGACCCTAAAAGCACCCTAAACCCGCAACCCCAAAAAACCCTGAACGCCTAAAAACCCTAAACGCCTAAACCCCAAACCCTAAACCCTAGATTCCTAAAAGCCCGAAACTCCAAACTCTAAACCCTGAACCCTAAACCCCTCAGAGCCATTCAGCCCCTGAACGCCCCACAGCTTTGCACTTCCCAGCCTTGGGCTTGTCTTCCTCGGCAATGGCTGGAGAGCCTGTGGCCTCTCAAATCACCGGGTTTAGGGTTTGGGGTTAGGGTTTAGGGTTTAGGGTTTAGGGCAGCAAACAACCGAACAGGCTGCACAGAGAGACACAGCCGCTCAAGAACCCGGCGTCCCACGCCTCAGCCACTGGCTCCTTGGGAGCGTTGGCTTCCGCCACCGCCGACGAGCCTGAAAACAAGATAGTGGGTTCAGGGTTCAGGGTTCAGGGTTTAGGGTTTAGGGTTTAGGGCTACTTGGAGGCTCATGGGTACTGATAACCCCAAGTTATAGGTCTACTTATCACCTACTTAGAGTTCTAAGGGCGCTTCGAAGTGCAGTTGGAATTCGGGTTCTGAGTACCCTGAACCTCCAAGGGTTTAGAGTTTAGGGTTTAGGGTTTAGGGTGCAAGAAGCTCTTGGCTATACTGAACTTGGAACCCTAGCAAAAATTCCAATTTTAGCTGTTTCTTAGGAGTTAAAGTATCCAAACATGTTGAAACTATTTCTAAATACCCCAAAGGGTATAGTATTGCTGTTAATATCTTGCTATGCAGTGGAACATGGCCCGGGGGGCCTCAACTAAGGACATGTTTGTATGGTATTTCTGTTAACGTCTTGTTCTGCAACTATGTTAACTGCTATTTTACTATCGTGCTTTCATTGTGTGAATGAGGCTTGCCTTGATTTTCTGGATGTATCGGTTTCTGGAGAGCTCGAACCCTAAGCTCGGAACCTCCGAACAAGCCACGTGAAATCTGAGTCGGCGGCTGCTGTCGCTGCTAAAGGCATGCTTTAAGCACAGCCTTGGCAAAGAGGTGACTCAAACAAGGATCTGGTAGAGCACTCTATGAGTCTGTGGTCCTAGTCGTGAGGGGGTATCGAACGCAACTATGCCTGGGCCTCCCTAAACCCTAAACCCTAAACCCTAAACCCAAAACCCTAAACACTGTGTTGATATCCAGAACCTGCATTGCCCGCTCCAAGACCCTTGAGCCCCTAAACCCAAAAATCCCACGTCCAAACATCTGAAACATGAAGCCCCTAAGCCCTGAAACCCTGAAACCCTAAACCCCAAACCCTAAACCCCAAGCCCTAGAACCCCCCCCCCCCCCCCCCCCCCCCCCCCCCCCCCCCCCCCCCCCCCCCCCCCCCCCCCCTCCCCTGAGCCCAAGCAACCTCGAACCCGAAATTGGGGCGCAGGCAGCCGCTCTGGGGCGAGCCTACGCACGCCTGCGGGGCTTCAGGTTTAGGGTTTAGGGTTTAGGGTTTAGGGTTTAGGGTTGAGGGCTTAAGGTACCTAATTCTTGGGCTGTTCGGGTTGATGCTGGGGTACACCCATGAGGGCTTAAGGTAGCTAATGCTTGGGCTCTTCGGGTTGATGTGTGGTCTAAACCCTAAACCCTAAACCCTAAACCCTAAACCCTAAACCCCAAACCCTAAACCCTAAACCCTACTGGGGCACACGGGAGCCGAATTAAAAAAAAGAGGGAACCATGTCCCAGGATGGCCCTTGAAACCCTCTGAAAAATATTCGCAATCAGTTAGGGTTTAGGGTTTA